CTCATACTCCCCTCCTTTCCCATTCCCAATTCCTCCATTTCCCCTCGTTTTCTAGGGTTATCCTCCATGACGGATAACGAGAAAGATAACTCCAACACAGACGATTTAAGCGACGCACTCCCGGCTGCCGTCTCCGGTACCTCACCTTAAACCCTGAGTGGAATTCTGTCTCTCCGAAGTCCAATCAAACACACATACAAATGGAATTTATATATTCTTGTCATTGTTCTTCCCGGCATCCGAAATCAATAAATTTGCTTTACGTCCATATTTATGTGTAAATTCTGTGTTCTTTGATTAACATGATATGGGATTTTTGAATATTTGTGATCATCCTGTTTGTAGTTCTCAGCGCGGAGGATCGTGCTGGGCTTGTTAATGCACTCAAGGCAAGTTAATTCTTTTTAACTCCAATGTTCTGCCGGTTTTTGCTTTTAAACGTCATAGAATGAATATAGAACCATTCTTTTTGTTATTGCACTAAAAGGAATCGGAATTATGCTTAAAGCCTTAGAGGATTATTTTTTCAGGAATTTGGGGTGAAATTTTCTTCTTCTTTTTTTTCTTAAATGTCAGACATCCCAAAATAAAAAGTAAGAGGCTGTTATTGTTGTTGGAATTGAAAAAACACACCCATCAAAATACATGGTTATTGGGTGGTTTGGAATATGTCATTTTTCTTTTTTGATGTGCAATTGAGCTGTTTTTTCCATCTTCTTTTTCAGAATAAGCTTCACGACTTGGCAGGGCAGCACTATGATATATTAGAAAATCTTTCACCAAATGTTAAGAAGCGTGTGGAGGCTCTGAGAGAGATCCAGGTTTTCAGATTTTTCTGCTCATGTTACCTAGATAGCTTGTTCATTACTAGTTAGATTGAAATATTTCACTGTACTGCACCAAAAACAGGATGTCGGCTCCTTGCAACTGTCTTGGGTTAATAGATAAGAAAAGCTTATTGTTCTGTTTTGTAACTTTTGTTGTTGTGAGAAGAATGCAGTGACACATTCTCTATTTGCAGAGCCAGCATGATGAGCTGGAGAAAAAATTTTTTGAGGAGAGAGCTGCATTGGAGGCTAAATATCAGAAACTTTATGAGCCACTTTACACTAAGGTATAGAAGTTTTAACTGAGCATTAATTTTGCATTTCTCTTTACCATCTAAGCAACACAAGTTTTTTTATCAATCAATGTAGTATATTGTCACAACTTCCCTTTCTCAAGGCTTGGTTTATTCGGTTACCCTTCCACTGATTGCTGGCTTCATCACATAATCTATTCTGTTGTTTAAATTTCATTCTTCTATCCTAAATAATTTGAAACTGCAGAGATATGAAGTGGTGAATGGTGTGGTTGAAATTGAAGGGGAAACAAAAGATGCTGTCACTGACCAAGAGAATAAAGTTGCTGAAGGTACCCTTATTTGGAGTATGGTTGACTTGGATGCTTTCTTCCAGGAACCTGTATGAATATAGATGCATCATTCATGGACTTGAACTGACATAATCTTTAATGCAGAGAAAGGAGTGCCTGATTTCTGGCTCACTGCAATGAAAAATAATGATATGTTGGCAGAGGAGGTATGTGGTTTTTGCCATCGTTATAAAAATTTTATCTGTTGGCTTGGCAATGAATATGTAATCTACATTTTGCTTGTGTAGATAACACAGCGGGATGAAGAGGCTCTCAAACATCTTAAGGATATAAAGTGGTGCAGAGTTGATGATCCCAAGGGTTTCAAGCTGGAATTTTTCTTTGATTCTAATCCTTATTTCAAGAATTCTGTTCTGACAAAAACATACCATGTGGAGGATGATGATGATGATCCCATCTTAGAGAAAGCAATTGGGTAAAATAAAAGTTTCCTTTGTGCTGAGAACCCTTTTAGGTTATCCTTCTCCATTTATCTTGTGATTTCTGGGTAATTTGTAGAACGGAGATTGAATGGTACCCAGGAAAATGCTTGACACAGAAGATCCTGAAGAAGAAGCCAAAAAAGGGATCAAAGAATGCAAAACCCATCACTAAAACTGAAAATTGTGAAAGTTTCTTCAACTTCTTTAAGCCTCCTCAGCTTCCTGAAGATGATGATGATATTGATGATGATCTTGTAGGTTTAGCATCTTCTTATAATTCAAGAATCTGGGGAGAATTTAATCATACTTTAAGCCTTTTCTTATTGATTTCTTTGATGTGTCTATCAATAGGCCGAAGAACTCCAAGACCGAATGGAGCAGGACTATAACATTGGGTGAGTTACTGATGCAGCCAAATCTATAGTTAATTGGATGCATTTAAGTTATGATAGGATTATGTGTGTATTGTTTAGTTGCTTGTTAGGTGGGCTGATCATCTGGTAAAATGAAAGATTATTACATATGTTGACTGGTCATTTGTTCAGCCAATTGTGTTTTGAAAGAACTGGAGATGGCATTGACACTATAAAGGAAAACAAAAAGGATGCCACTAGTGAAATTTATGTTTAAGCTACCTTGCATGGAATGTAATAGTTTCTCTCTGTTTTAGATACCATTGTAGGTTGTCTCTGTTTGTTTGTCTCTTGAAATGATTTGTTGGGCTTACCATGCAGTTCCATAATTCGGGACAAGATAATCCCTCATGCTGTATCATGGTATACTGAAGAGGCTGTTGAGGGGCATGAATTTGATGGTTTGGAAGATGACAATGATGATGGTGATGAAGATGAAGATGATGGTAACGAGGATGATGATGAAGATGAAGAGGATGATGATGACCAAGTGGAAAGCAAGGGCAGGAAGAAGGTTAATATGTCTAAGACTTAACTCATCCTTCTGGCTTTAAACCAGGCCTGAGCATTGTTCGGTATATACTGAATTACCATTTGGTATTTACCGAATTTATTTTTTTCGGTACAGTATGTACCAAAACCGGTTTGGTATTTTTATATATAGGTTTTTACTGAATAACATTTTCATTCGGTACTGGGATAAGGTTTCAAAATACCATACAAAACTGAACTACCAGAAAAAATAATAAAATTTTTTACAGTATTTCCTTGCCCCTTTTATGACTTTATTTATATTTGATTTGAGGGAGAATAAAACAAACAGGAACTTTAGCTTAACATAAACTTGTTACAACTAAGAAGGATCAAACTGTAGAATGGAGAATGGTGATGGATATGAATTTTTAACTTGTTATTGTGTTTGGTATAAAATCAAATTTTGAGTTTTATGTAGTTTGATTTACATAGGATTTTTTTTATGTATCCTTTGCTGTTATTGTCTCTGTTGAACAATTGCAACCTTAATTAAAGTCATACAAACGAATGAATGAGATCTATTTAAATTTTGGTCTGTAATACATTTATACTGTGCTGAATTACTGAGATATGTTGAAAACAGTATTACAAATACTGAATACCAATATACCAAAACTGAGAAAAAACCAATAAGTTTGTTTGGTAATGGCATTGAAATTGAAAACCAAAAAAACCAATATACTGAAAAGTTTGGACAGTTTGGTATGCTGAACCAACCAATGCCCAGGCCTACTTTAAACTTATCCTTGAGATTGTACTGAAAGTTTATATTTATATTGCTCTTCTATTACTTCAATTCGCCGAAATGTTCTTGCAATAGTGTATTAGACCTAAGAATAGATTATATTAACTTATTAAGAATGCTGTAAGTATCATGCATTTATTCTATGTACATGATTTTACAATTCTTACAATATGCCAGTAACTTAATGTGATGCCTGAATACTCTTTTGCAGAAAGGTGGGAAGGCACAAGGGGTTCAAGGTGTGCAGGTTGAACGTCCTCCTGAATGTAAGCAGCAGTAACCTTGTGGTTGCATGCAGCACTATTTGGAGGCATCAATTATATTGTCAAAGGCGTCCTAGTTGCTGTATAAGTTTTGAGTTATGTGCATTCTTCCATTGTGATTACGATACTCTTTCTATAATATTTCTTCTATAATTCTATTATATGGTTACTTATTGCCATGCTAATCTTTTGAAGTGGAACAATGAACATATGGAATGTTGCGAGGGTAAATGCTGATTTAATATGGTAATATGGAACATGTTGAGTTCTAGTTGCCCGTGTCTCTAAGCCTGTGTTTAGTTGACTGGGCGCGCCCAAGACTTTGCCCTGGATTGTTGCTGCCTGGCTGCCTTGGGATACTGCTCTACCCAAACATTACTGATATCACTTTTATGGGATTCTGCCTTTGGGCAAAAGACTCTGGAAGAAAAACTTCCTGACAGTCGGGATGTTATTTCAGCAGAATCTGGGATCTACAGAGGTAGCAACAATTCCGGATGCAACTTCCAGGGTGCAAGCAACCAAACAGGCCCTTTATTTTTGATTCTAGGGTCAAGGTCAAGAGTTCATGTTATTGTAAATAACCGAGCAGATTTTTGTGTGGTTTCCTAGGTGGAGGATTTGGTTATCAAATGATTTAATCAACTCTCCTAGTTCCAGCAAAAAGGTTTTGAATTAATTTAAGGAGTGTGTATGCAATCACGGTACCAACCAATTGGGTTTGAATACTTCAAACTATTTGGTCTAATATGAATATTAACTCTGATATATATTATATAAATTTTCAGTAACAATAGCCTTGAAATTCCACTAACATTGTTGAAAACTAATTGGGAAGAACTTCAAGCTATTTATGTGTAACTCCCTGCTCTTTCAAAACAGTTTCAATTGATTCTGGCTTTCTTCATGCTCCAAGCATCCAACTTCTCCATCATCACCGGCCTAGTTCCATTATTGAAAGCATACAAGTAGGCTCCATCACCAATTGCTAAAGTAGGATAAACTCTTGCTGTGATGCAAGCTTTGCCTCCTCCACCAAAGCTCTCCACTATAGAGTGATCAATCTGTAAATGGAGGATGTGAATTGCATAAGCCAAATAGCTCAAAACAATGAAACAAAAGTGAAATTTGTCCCTTGTGCCTATAAACAAAGTGAGTTGCAAGTTGCCAATAGGACTAATCAGGTACTCATGTTATAAAAGAACAAAAATGAAATTTGTCCAAATCCATAATCTTAAATTTAGTGGAACGAACAAAGTGAGTTAATTGCAAGTTGCCAATAGGACTAATCAGGTACTCATGTTATAAAAGAACAAAAATGAAATTTGTCCAAATCCATAATCTTAAATTTAGTGGAACGAGCAACCTAGTCCTTACGTTGTGAAGAAATATCTTTGCTAATCTTTATATGAAAACAGGCCGGTTTGTCGAATGCGGAAATTCTTTACTGGGAAAAGTCAAAGCATATTGTTTTCTTGGAGATGTCGTTTTAAAAACAGTCCAAGTCAAAAACTTTATTAGGTTAACCCTAATTGTCTAACAGCTTGTTTTTTTTCTTCCAGGGACAACTTACCAAGCTCCTTAGAGACAACTTTTGATGAACAGGGTCTACATCCACGAAAGCTCCATATGTTGTGTGGTCATTGCTCTTCTTTAGTGAAGACCTACATTTAAATAAAGAAAAATTAAACAAGACTTCAAAATTATGTATTTAGATATTTGTGTATTTATATTTGTTTGTAAGTGCATGTGCCACATATGAAAGAGTTGAGCTGAGAAAATTAAGAGAAAGTAAATGCAAGGAAACTAAGACCTGCTTTGGTCGCTGCACATGAGCACCACATATTTGTCATTGCCTTTGAAAATTCTAAAGAAGACTGCTGTGTATTCCTTCAAGCCCTTTGAAGACAAAACCGTCAACCCAAATGGACCCAGATTACCTCTCACTGATGCACCCGTTTGATTGCACAGCTCTTGTGGATTTGTCCACTTGGGGTCCATCACTTCAGCTTTCTCAAACTCAGTTATGCCGAAGGAAATTTCAACATCTGCCTGAGAGACAAAGAAGCAAACAGTTTAATATCCCAAAAGCTAAAGGGAATTTATACCTGCTTAATGTAGTGGGGCAGGCGGGATATATGGCAATCATAAAATCCTTTAATTTGCACTCATAAAATTTTGATCTAGACTGAGAAGAACTCAACCTGAGATGCTGTGACACCAGAAACTTGAAGAATCGATCCTCCCTTGAGCAATTTGCTTGGGAACGTTACTTGGTTTGCACGTAACTTTTCTATCTCTTGCACTGGCCATTGTACCAGTTGTTTTCCAGATCGGTCTAACCAAATTTTCCTCGGAACAGCCTGCAAAATGAGACCAAAATGTGAGATTTGAATCCAATTTACTCAAAGGGTGAGGTAACTTTAGAATCAAGTATATATACATTAAAACCAACAAGTTAATTAAGTAATTTAGTGGTCTCTTTCAGTGGAAATAAGAGATTTTAATTTCAAATTGCATGGTACATAGGTGGATGTAGATTTAGAAATGAGAGAAAGTTACCTCATATTATGCAACTCAAGATAAATATATATATATATATATATATACATGCATTAATTATTTAATTAATTAATCTACATATAACTTGTTTTGTATGGTACTTCAACCGGCTAAGATTGGACTTTTGTTGGAATATTTTGATGTTGGAATGTGAAAATTAAATGATTAAAGATGATTAAAGAACAAATTAAATTGGATGAACGCATTTTCTAACAAATGAAAATAAACAATTCGATCAAAGCAACCAAACTAAATTGTTGTTTTGACTAAAAAAAGAGTTATGAATGACTTGACAACTAACTCCAATTCGAATTGACTAATCCGGTCTTTTTTTTTTCACCTTCATGGAGGTCGTCTATGTTTTTACTTTACGAATATGATCTTTTCTGGGCAATTTTTAATAATATCAAGTGCTATTCCTATTTTGGCATTTCTAATTTCTGGAGTTTTAGCCCCGATTCGAAAAGGTCAAGAGAAACTTTCTAGTTATGAATCAGGTATAGAACCAATAGGCGATGCTTGGTTACAGTTTCGAATCCGTTATTATATGTTTGCTTTAGTTTTTGTTGTTTTTGATGTTGAAACGGTTTTTCTTTATCCATGGGCAATGAGTTTCGATGTATTGGGGGTATCCGTATTCATAGAAGCTTTAATTTTCGTGTTTATCCTAATTGTTGGTTCAGTTTATGCATGGTGAATTTTATTGATTGACAAAAGGAAAATTACCTGAACCCCAGACCACCCCTTCCTGATGTCAGCACACTTACTGGATGATTCACTGACCCAACCCCATAAGATTCGCCGGTTTTGTGCAGTATCAAAGAAGGTCTTGGAAGCATAGAATTTGCCATAATCATATCTTAAACCTGAATCATCATTCAAAGATCCCTGGTCAGGAACATAGATATCCTTGGCAAGGTCATATGTCCCAATAGTGTAGTATTCATGCTTGGTGTCATCCAAGCTGACCTTAAGCACATGTTTAAGGTCTGAACCCAAAGCAGAGGTATCAAGCCCATGATAGGACTTAGTTGAAACAGGGAAAAAATCAGGACATTCCCACATCCCATTGTCATTGGCAGAATGCAAGGGCTGGGGGGACTGAACCCAATTAACAAAATCCTTGCTTTTGAATAGAATTGCCTTCCCTTGGCGATCGATTTTGCTTCCAATTATCACCCTCCATTGCCCATCAGGGCCTAACCAAGCTGTTGTGGGATCTCTGAATGAGCTTGAATTGATTTGGTTAAGGGAATTTGGTGCCATTAAAGGGTTTTTTGGTGACTTCACCCACTCTCTAAGGTAGGGGTCAGATCGATTTTTGGGCACAGCAAGATTTTGAACTTCTCTGGTTTTCAGGTCAATGCCAGTGTATAGAATGGCCGGTTTGCCACCAGGGAGGATGGTGGTTGAACCTGACCAGGTACCTTTAACGTCAGACTGCTGGGTGGGGTAGATGGCTGGATCATGGGGGAGCCAGTTCACCAGATCAGTTGACGTAGAATGAGCCCATACAATGCTACCCCATGTTGCATCTTGTGGGTTGTATTGGTAGAATAAGTGGTAAATTCCCTTGTATATCATCGGTCCTGCATTAAAATGTCAGACATTTAGGCATTTCCGTTACCACATGGCAAAAATATACCCAAAAAAAAAAAAAAAAGAAAGTAAAACAAAGGCATTAATTGGATCTATGAGTACTAAATTTTCAATTCAAACATGTTTAATTTAAGGATGCTGATTGGTGCACACCCGGTGTTGACCCGGGTGTGCACCCCCACATAGAAAAAAAAAAAGGGACCGGG